TTATTATTGTTATGTGTACAATAATAATACACAAGTTGCTTAGCTGTTGTTTGCATATGATTTTCAACACTGTTTAAACATTATTTTTGGGTTTCAAGTTGACGAAAGCGACCAAAAAAAGAAAAGAAGTGAAAAAGCAAACAACTTGATAAAATACTTAAACACACACACACACAGAGAGAGAGAAGCACTTGGTGCATATGTGTGTGTTGGTATTTGAATTGCCAGATATATTTTTTTACGATCTATTACGAAACGTGCAACTATTAATCTTAATAAATACTAATTGGATACAATACGCGCACGAGGCACACGATCAATCCAGAGAGATCAGCAGCAACAACAGCAACAACAACAATTCAGCAGCCAATTGATGCGCGTCATGCAGCTTGAACGTCACAGCGGCAGCGCAGCTGGAAGCCATAGAAAAACGCATCAAAAGCAGCAGGCAACAGCCAAAGTGAGCGAAATTAATACACGCACACACTCACACAGACACACACACACACACATAGCATGCTCATCCTATTCCTAGTGCTGTTAAACGAGCGCGCAACATTCACAAACAGACGCCGACACCACCTGCCGCCATTTTGCAAATGAGCCGCTGCTGCTGCTGCTGCTGCTAAGCTATTAATTTGATGCCAAACAGAATTTAATGCATATTAAATTGCATATTAAAATGCGCCTGCTACAAGCGGTGTCCAGTTGCAGCGAAATGCAAATGCCGCATGTCTAGTAAATTAACAGCACCGTTTACCGCAGGCGCAACGGCCAACAGCAGCAGCCGCAACAACAGCAACAACAACAACTTGCAACTGCCAACAATTGGCTGTGCCAGTTTATTTGGTACCAAGCAGTCTCGCCATGTCGCTGTGTTTATGTTTTTTTCTTTTTTTTTTTTTTTTGTGGCCATGGTACCATGCAGTCTCGAGAGCTGTTTTAACAACTTGGGTGGGTTGTTTTAACTGTTGCTCGCAAACATTGAATGTTTGCATGTCTTGGCTGCATTTGTTTGTTAGATATTCCAGTAGCATGTCTTCCAGTCTTAAATAGCATAAGCATAAGGATCAGCTTAATAGCAAACTCTTTCCAGAAAATGTAAATGCAAATTAACAGCACAATTAACAGCACTTGCACATGTCTGGCTAGCTTTACAGTCTGAAATAGACTTAACAGCAACTTCGCTGTGAATGCCAACAAATGTCGTGCCACGCTTGCGTAGCCAAGCGTTAAGTTGTGGCACTTGCCACAAATATACAAATGTACAAGTATTGATATGTGCAACGTGCATGTACAATGCACGCGCTTGTTTTTGATCGCAGCTTTTTCATTGTCACTCATTGCCAATTCACAGTAACTAATCCATATAATAACAGTTATTTGCGGCGATAACAGGGCGCATTCCAGGCCAAATTTAGGCGCCCCGATAACGCCCACAGAGACAGGTGGATATTTGCTTAAATGTTTATCTCTAATATAAATGCCACCGTCTCACCCGGAGAGGAGGGTGAGGGGTGTGAAATTTTTAAAACTATTGCGCACAAAAGAATACAAAATTCGTTATAATTGCTGTTTGTCATTATTTTTGGCTCATGACTTCATTCAATGTCGCCTGGCAGCAGGCAGCTTCTAGCTACACACTCGACGACACACACACAAAAAGCAATCAAAATCAAAGTTGAATAGTTTACAATCTGGCAAATCGACTTGAGCATGGGACATGGCGAATTGCGTGGCATGCGCGACTCGCGCCAATGATTCAGTTATATATGTATGTACATACATACATATATACACATAAATATGTGTGTATTGAATATCATTTTTTGTTTTATAATGCGTCTACTTGTATGTGTGACAGACAGTTATTTAAATTGATACAAAGCGGCAGGCCGACAAATAAAATCAATTGGCAGCTAATCAAAGCACAATGCAAACAAATTGCCAGCACACGCTTTTGATGACGATGACGATGAGACGATGACGATAAATCGATCGATCGTTTGATAGGTCGTTCTACTATATGTACATATGTATATTGACAATCGGTTCCCAATCGGTTCGTTGGCTCCTGTTTGGTGGTCAACGATGACGCCATCGGCAACACGGACACATTTACAGCTAACAGCTGCTGTTAGAGCTACAGCTACAGCTGTTGCTCTGTTACGCGCTGTTACTTTATGCCCATATCGATTATGCAATTTATGCGGCCGGCTAAAGTGTTAAAAATAAATGCATCGAACTCGAACTCGTTCTCGAACTCTCCGCTTGATGGCCATAAATCGTGCAATTCGAATCCAATTAGCGCAAGCAGCGGCCGCCGCCGCTGCGCAGAGGTCGTCGTGTGGGTAACGCGAGACAGCAGCAGCTGCTCCTGCTGCTGTTAACTCTCCTCGGCAATGTAAAGTATACGCCCCATAAAGAAAACGAGGAAAATAAACCGTATCTTGTACATTCAGCTGTTCCAGTGGCGCCATCATTTAAAACTTGCACTTTTTCCAACACTCTGCAATCTTGTTGTTGTTGTTGCGTTGTGTGTTACGTCAATTATTTATGTACTTATATTTTATTTAGTATTTTAATGGCACTCACGTGTCGTGCGGCAGCTGCTAATTATACTACAACATCTAAATAAGCCCAAAAATAATATACTATAATAGAGTATGCATTTGTTTGGCCAACTGTTGAGTTGCGCACTGAGCTCATTTTAATGGCAACAGCATACGGCAACATTTGGCAAAACTGATTGATGAACTTTTCTACTTTGCAACAAGCCAAGCCATTGGCCATAAATCAAAAGCGACGACAACAAAAATGCGCTCAACTTAATTGAAGGCATCAACAAGCCAATAAAAAATCAATTTAAATAAACACAAGCACACACACACACATAACATACAGAGAGAGAGCATATCGAATATAAAGCAGAAAACGAATGACGCTAACGACGCGAGAGGTGCTAAGCAAAATGCTCATAAAGAAGAACCCAAAGGCGAAAATTCGAAGAAATATTTCAACAAATTGTTCACATGTTTTTGTTGCTATTCGAAATAGCGACGCTGTGTCTGCTTTGAATTTTCATTCATTTTTCACAAACACACACACACACACACATCTATATATACACACGTAAGCTGGCAGGCACGCGAAATTTTCACACACGCCGTATTTTCAGTATTTTTTGTTGTTGTTGTTGTTGCTGTTTTTGGTTTGAAGCAAACCAATTGGCACATGCAGAAGAAACGAAGCGCAATGGAAAAATTTACAATTTTAATCAAATTATTCAATAGTTTGGAATGTATGTCGACGCCGAACGTAATTGAAATTGAAGCGGACCACGCAAATTGATAAAAATATGCAAATACAACGACAATTGCTATTAATTTAATTTATTTATATTTTCGGGGGCCTGTCTGACAGCGCACACAAGCTAACATACATACATACATATGTTTGTATATACATACATTTATTGATATGCATATGCATGTACATATGTGTGCGTACTTAGGTGTGACCATGTAATTTGTTGTTGGGTTGCTGCGGCTCGCCTTTGAGCCCAGTTGGACTCGTAAATTAGCCAAGTCGACAGATTTGCAAATAATGCAATAAACATTGAAATTGCGCGATTTATTTATAGAGAGAGCGCACGTCTCGCAGCTGTAGACACCTTTATGAAGTTGCCGAATGCAGATGGGCAGCAGATAAAGCAAGATCAACACGAAATTCGTTTTATTTTTAGCTCACACTTTGCAGTTGCAGTTGCAGTTGCAGACAGGCTCTATTTTTAGATCTACCTATGGTCTACGATTTACGATTTACGATTCACGATCTACAAGTACTCGCACTCCTGCCTTGAGGTGCCTCTCCTCGCCCTCCTTCTCCTCTCTCTCTCTCTCTCTCTCTCTCTCACTCGCTCGTCCGTCTGTTTGATTGCCCAGGCCGACGACCACCCGTCGCGCCCCGCCTTCCCGGCCTCGGGCCTTTTTGCGGTTTCAAGGTTCAGCTTGGCCCATATCCACTTACCCAGTAAGCGGTTAGCTGCGCGCGCGCGCTAACTAAAGCAGAACTTAATTGTACTCGGACTCGGCTATAAATAGCCGGGCCAGACAGTAAATTGTGCTATTTTTAAACTATTTCCGGTACTTGGCTACTTGAACATTATCATATCAAAGCGTGAGTATAGCATCGACTAAGAAATCTAGTTTAAATTAGAATAGAATGGTCTAAATCAAGGGATTTCTTTTAATCTGTTTTATTATATTATAATAAATATTTTCTATTTTGTTTTTTTTTTTTTGCAGATGTGTTCCCGCAACATAAAGATCTCGGTGGTGCTGTTTCTTGTCTTGATACCCATATTCACAGCGTTGCCACATAATCACAATTTGTCGAAGCGCAGCAATTTCTTCGATCTGGAATGCAAGGGCATCTTCAACAAGACCATGTTCTTTCGCCTAGATCGCATCTGTGAGGATTGCTACCAATTGTTCCGTGAGACGAGTATACATCGACTATGCAAGTAAGTTTGAGAGCAGCTAAGTAAAGATCCACTGACTAACCAAATCCAAGAACATTTGTCTAGCAATTGAGAATACCCTCCACCTCCCCTCCTAGCCACACCCATTCCATTTCATATCCCCTCTGCACACCACTTCCTTAACCTCGTCGCAGGGTCCAACATCAATTTGAAAGCAGTTCAAGGCGCCAAGTCGCGAATTGCTGCGCACAAATAATACCATGGTCATTTCTTAAATATGACCCTGACATAGTTATAAAAAAACACAGGAAACTTTTCTTGTATTTATTATGAACTACACAATATTTCTAAAAAAACAAAAATATCTAGCTGCTTTTCTATTTCTTATGTACATTCTGTTAAACTATCTATCTATCTATGCTAGTTGTATCTTCTTCTTGTCTATTTGCTGCAGGGCCAATTGTTTCGCCCATCAAACCTTCGGAGAATGCCTTAAAGTGCTGCTCATCGATGATGAAGAGATTGTACAGCTGCAGCATTATCTAAAAGTTATCAATGGCTCGCCCTATCCCTTTCACAAGCCAGTTGTCTATAAATATTAGATGTCTTTATGTTCATATTCCTTAATTTCCCAATTATTTTCTCATTTCTTAACTTGTGCTTGATTTGATTTGATTTATTTGAGACGTTCTTGATTTTGTATGATTTGTACGTTTGTTTGTTTTTTTCTGTGTGTATTTTAGGAAAGACTGCTTTGATTCCAAATGGTTTGGCGAATGCGTTAAAGTGCTTTTAACACCAACAGAAGAAATAACAAATTTACAACATTTTATAAAAGTAGTAAATGGCTCGCCCATATCATTCAACATGGCGCCGGTTACATAACTCTAAGTGGTTGGTTAGAACCACCACCGAATACCACCAGAAACCACTCACACACACACACACACACACACATCCACCTATCCGCAGTTACACACGCAGCCACACACATGCACACACTCACGCGATACACACAAAGAAATGGAAGAACAAGTTCAAGAGATTCCAGTTCGCATATGGTTCGGTTCGGAACTTGAACCACACATCCGAAGTATCTGAACAACAACAACAACAAGAACAGAAGCAACAAGAGCAACTACAATAACTACAAGCAGAACAACAAATTAAATGTTTAACGCCCAAATTTAATTCGTACTTATTTATTACTGTATGCCTTACAGTTTTTACTATATGTGTTTTTTAAAAAACGAATTATTTTAATTAATTTATTGATACGTTATGCGTTTGTTGTAAGTGAGGGACACGGGAACAGGGGGCGGGGGTATATGTATGTATGTACGGGAACGAGTGCGAGTGAGCAAACACACACACACGCGAGGGGGAAAAACGGGAGAAAGTACGGTACCAGGGGAGGGGCTACCTCTCAGTACTATGACAGCGGACCCCGTAGCCGAAGAAGTATTTATTTCTAAGTATTCTTAGCTTGTTTATTATTGCGTTATGTATGTAAAATAAAAGATCCATTGTTTTTAATATACTTATTTAATGTATAATTATTATTTTTTGTATTGTATTTAAAAAAAAAAAAACAAAAAACACATAAAAAAACATAAAAAAACTAAAAAAAATATCGCGTATTCCAAGCAGCATTTACATATACATCAAAGGGCAGAAAAAAAAGTATAAAAATACTGAAAAAAGAGAAAAGAAAACATATTCACAGACCCACGCACACACTTAATCGCTCACACACAAGACCGAAAGTATTTTGCAAATGTATTAGATTTTTGTGCTATTTTGTAAAGTTTTAAAACATAATTAGCGTAAAATTTGTTGGCAAAAAGAAAAGATGAAAAAAAAAAAACAATTATATATCCACGAATACATAAAAATATTTAAGCCTATAACGCAATTTGTGCAAAACACAAACAAAACAAAAAAACCTTTGGTAAAAACACGCAAAAGCGAACAGAAAAAATACTGCATTAAAAATGTAGTAAAAAAAAAAAAGAACAAAAACACAATTATTAATATTTATGTTAAATAATGAACAAAACAATCGCTGGCTATTTGAGGGCATCCAAAATTGTGATAAATGAAATTAGAATGCGACACTGACCAGGGAGAGCGCAAAAATAGCGCACAACGTAAGAGCGAAAAAGCAAAGCAAAGAGAGAGAGAGCGAGAGCGAGAGCAACAAGTGCAGCAGCTGTCGCCGATGCTTGGCGCGTTTCCGGCGCGACTAAAAACGCGCGCTTACCGTTTTTATTTTGTGGTACGTTTTCAGTTTGAAATTTTATTTGTATTTTTTGTCGATTTTGATTTTTGCCATGTTTTGTCAAGTGCAATTTGCTTTTTGACTTTTTCACTATGCACTGGCCAACAACGTTTTTTGAACAGGCACAACCAAAATTTTTTGCCTTTTGGCTCCACTCTGTGTGAGCGGCGCCTCGAAAGAAAAACCTCCGCACTTTTTGCGATCATATTGTAATGCCCAGATTTTTTTCCCATTCCGAAAAACAGGCAAGACTGCTTCGGATCACCGTTCTTCAACGCCTGCGTCGAGGCGCTGCAACTGCACGAGGAGATGGACAAGTACAACGAATGGCGCGATACCCTGGGACGCAAGTAAACGGACGGACGGACGGGCAATACTTGAAGGCGGCATAGAGCCATAGCTAAACGCATAATACGAGTTATACTTATATATTATATACTCTATACGATATGAACACACACAACCACACATATACACACACACACATACACACACACACACAAGGCACACACACACGAACTACCGACAAATACAAGAGAAAAACCACACGAGTTAAAATAATCACAGCTACTACGCGAAATACTTTTAAGTGAAATGAAAGAAAAATGTTGGAAAAAAATATAATGCATAATAATACATATAAATAATAAACATACTCAAGTAAATATATACGACAGTGTAACATTTCTTCACGTATATTTTTCTTCTTGCTTAGAAAGTTTTGTACAATTATTTTCGCTGTACGACCTCCCGATTTAAGTTTAGTTTTTCAACTCGATATATATATATGTATTAGGCCAGAATTATGTATCTTCGTTTTTTTAGTTCAAGCAAAGGACAAAGAAGCAAACAAAATGAAACAAAGCGGGAAATTCAAAATGTCTGATGTATATAAAGATAATATTTTTGTTTTTTTTTTCTACACATATAAATACCTAACATATACATATAATATTTTGTACATTTTTTGTCTATCCTTTAAGCAATTAAGTTAATTTGTTACGTTTACGTTTACGTTCTAATTCTAATTCTAATCACATAACGCGAAGAAAGCGAAATCATGAAGAAATCTACAAACACATAATTACCACACAGCATATTTCGATATTACATTATATGTACCCTAATTAATTTAAACTTGTTTGGATCTAGTCGTAAAATATAAATAAAAACTGTATATTTCAAGTGAAGAGAGTACCCAAAGTTTGCTTTCATTTCCAATTTTTCCAGCACTTTGGGTTTGCATTAGCTTTATTCAACATTATATAAGTTTTGTATATTTGCATTTTTAAATGTGAATTGTTTGTTTTTCAAATTCAAAAGTTTTACATCGTGTGCAGTGAGTAGGAATTCAATTCAAATCGGCTACGATAATATTGGGTCAATTATTCAAGTAGCGCCTCAGTTCACTTGAGATGTATAAAATGCCAAGTGTCGACTGTAAGACAATAGATAGAAGAGATTTGTTTAAATATTACACAATATTTATTTAGAATTACATTTAACAATACATAAACAATAAACAAGCAAAGCCAATTACAAAGGTGTGTGTAGAGGTCTAAAGCAATATTTACAAGAGGACATTTGGTTTGGTTTGTGTCGATTTGATTTGTCTTTGGGTTAGTTTAGCATGCAGGATTGGAATTTTATATCCAATTTGTGCAGTGTTTGTTTGTTTGGCGTGTGTTAAAGCTTAGCGGGAACATAGTAAACCTTACCTGTGTCGACCACTTCCTCGACTTCGCCGCCATCTGGGGCCTCATCGAGAATTTTGGCAGCCTCTTCTTTGCCAATTACGAATTCCGAATGGCGATTGGTTATATTTTGGCTACAAATACAAATAGTTTGATATGATATTATGTGCATTGGATCGGATTGGCAATATAGACAAACCAAGCGATTTCCGGCGTGCCCACATTGGACTGATTGATCAGAGTTTGCCAGAACTTGTGCGTCTCTGCAATGATATTGGTGGCAAAGTCTGCGCTCTTGGCATCCCCATTAAACGCAAACTGATTCTCTGGCTTGCCATCGGGTATTTTGTAGATCTAGGCCAAATAAAAGGCATAACATCAATAAGAAAATATATATGTATATATAAAATGTAAATCCAATGAGTAAGTACCTTGAACCACTCGACGGTGGCACGAAGCAGACCCGGATAATATTGATCTACATCCGAAACATCGTTGACCTTTGAGGCCAGTGGATCGTTAACATTGATTGCAATGATTTTCCAGTCCGTTTCGCCCTCATCGATGAGCGCGATGGCGCCCAGGACCTTGACCTGCAGCACTTCGCCGCGTTTGGCCACACGATAGCCGATCTCGATAACGTCAATGGGATCATTGTCACCCTTGCAACCAGTGGAAGGTTCAATGTGATTGGGATTCTCCCACGTCTGTGGCAGAGCGCCATAGTTCCAGATGTAGCCCTTGTGGGGAAAACAATTGGCCACAAAACGCAATTTACCCTTCTTGATGTCCTGCTTAATGGGGTTCAATGGCGTTTTCAGGCTAATCTAAAATACATTTAAACACGCCATTTGAATGTTTATCAAAATTATCTATCGATAATTATGCAGTTTACCTCCATTTTGGCGTTCGTCCAACGTGGCACCTCGACGACCATGTTGTAGATGGTCTTCTCCTCGTTGGCGTACAATGGAATGTCGTGCATGGGTGAAATGACATTGCCGCAGTTGTTTTCTATAGCAAATAATAAACAAGTAGCAATTAGGAAGCGTAGTAATTAATTTGCGTCCCAAAAACTTAACACGCAAACGATTAATTAATTAAAACAAAGTGCGCAAGGGAAGCCACACTGTTGACAAGTTCTTTAAAAAGCAACTGGATATTCAATTTATGACTGGAATAAAGATATGCTATATCCGTTTTATAATCAGAAGTTCATAAAAATTAAAGTCCACAGGTCGTTCGGCATCAACCGATTCACCTTGTCCGGTGTCACAGGCAAAGCTTGCGCCGGTCGCGGAAATTGCTGATAAAGCAACGATTTTTAATTAGCGGCAACTTGTTGCATAATTGTTTATTTCAATAGTGGGCTGCTTGTTTTAATTTTATTTGGGCACAATTACTCAAGGAGCTGCATTTTTGCAGTCCTTTTTGCCATACTTACTGAAATACAGGCTGTAGTTGGGCGAGTTTATGGCGCCTTTTGCAATTGTTTCGTACATCGGCATTTTCAAGTTTTTTTTCCTTAGACTCTGGATATGTATTTGTCTATAGCTGCGGGAAAATGTTTCTTCTGACACTGCACAAATTGGCCGGAATAAACACCTACCTAGTACACGTGAGAAAGCAATATATGAACTCTTTGTAATTTCTGCGAACATTCTGATTAGGTAGTGTTGCCAGACTTGGCAGATAAAAAATACCAAATAAAATACTTTAATTACATTGCATGTGCTCACTGCTAACAAATTGGTTGAAGCTATAATAAAGACTGCGTACAATATGTCACATAGTCATTTTTTTTAAATACACAAAAACAGATCGTATTCAAGTTTTCACTGTCATGTTATTAACTTTAATATTTGGTATTCGTGGAATTTCGCCACAGTGAGGCCGTATATATACCAAGCAATTGATTCGATTATTTTAAGCAGCTAATCGAATAATAGTAGTTGTATCATTCTCCACGCTGACAAAAATTCAGAGAAATTGTAAGTCGTCGCTTTGATATTGGGATAAAAATTGCTACTCGGCAACCTGATGATCAAGGTCTTTGCATAAGCGCAATACGAATACGAATTTTTACGCCTTCTGCCTGACTTCAAATACACAGCATAAAGTGCTGCAATTAGCAACAAAACTATTCTTGCTGCAGGTTTCTTTTTTTTTTTGGCAACAAGTAGAAATTTCCCCCTCTATTGCCATGCAGAACTCAAGATCGAGAGGCTCATCGTCGAAGCCACACCGTCGGCCAGCTGCAGCTGCAGAAGTTACAAGCGTCAAGAAAAGCGAATCGAACACGAAGCTAACCACCACGGAGGCTGCCTACTATCAAGTGGGCAACGATGATAACGCGTGCGTGGTCTGCTTTAAGAACGTTGAAATCTATTCAATCGGAGACTGCGATCATCCCGTTTGCTATGAATGCTCCACGCGTATGAGGGTATTGTGCCAGCAGAACGAGTGCCCCATCTGTCGGCATGTGCTGTCTAAGGTAAGCCCTTATATATGTCAGTGTGTATATATATAAATATTTACACTGAGTGCCTCTATATAAACTGTTTCCATGCAGGTTCTGTTTACACTGGAAAAGCTGCCTTATCGCGAACTTGAAGCTGGCAATCGTTCCGATTTCTATAGCAAGAAGTATCGCATTGGCTTCTGTACCGCCGACATTCAGCAGAAGTTCTATAAGCTACTTGATCATCCCTGTCCCAAGTGAGTTTCCAGTTCGCTTTGCTTCTGTGCTACAGCTGAAATAATAAATTATAATTTAATAGGTGTAATGTGCCGCCTTATCGCACCTTCGAGGCGCTGCGCAATCATGTTCTACGCGAACACCACATGTATTTCTGCGATCTGTGCGTAACGAATTTGAAGATCTTTACATTTGAACGTCGCTGCTACACGCAAGCCGAACTGGTAACACACAACGCAAAGGGCGATCCGGAGAATACATCGCATCGTGGGCATCCGCTATGCGAGTACTGCAACGAGCGCTATGTGGATCGTGATGAGCTCTTTCGTCATTTGCGACGCGATCATTACTTTTGCCACTTTTGCGATGCCGATGGCTACAACGATTTTTACAAGTGAGTAGCATGTTACCTATTCTGATCGTAAACTGTAACTTATGCATATTTCTTCACCTTTCAGCGTCTATTCAGACTTGGCAGATCATTTCCGCAAAGAGCATTTCCTCTGTGAGGAGGGCAAATGCGCCACGGAGGAGTTTACGGGCGCCTTTCGCAATGAGATTGAGTATAAAGCGCATGTGGCCAGTGTTCATGGAAAAACGTTGAACAAACAGCAGGCCAAGCAGACGCGCACATTGCAGCTGGAGATTACGCTGGGACCACGCGGACGTCGTGGCCAAAATGAACAAGGCATTACGAACATGAGATCACGGTGTGTAGCCATTTCAAGGACACAATTTCTCTAATAATTTAATATTGTTTCTTGCAGAAATGATGAGCATCAAGACTATTTGGATGAGTTGCCCACGAGCAGCACACAGCGCAGCCAGCCCGTTACCATTGATGCTGGCAACGATGAAGAGTTTCCCATGCTGGCTGGCTTTACACCTGGTCCGAATGTGTCTTTGGTTAGGGCGCCGCCACCGTCTATGCGCAACTTGAGCGGCACCTCGGGCCTAGCGCGCACCAAAGAAAACTTTCCAGCTCTGGGTGGCGCTGCTGCTGGCAATATATCCAATGCCTATAACAGTTATGCCAGCGCCCGAGCTGCTGCCCCTCAGCCTGCAGCGGCTACCTTTAAGAAGTCCGCCAGCTCAGGCACTGCTCCTGGCGGTACTTCTGGTGGCGCTGCAGTAGCGCGTGGCAATGCTCCTGCTAATGGCATGTTGCTGCATGTCTCGAATCGTCCTGCCGCCAACGGCAGCAAGAAATCAACACCAGATATGGACTTTCCCGCATTGCCTATGGGCAAAGGCAAAAGGATGATGCGCAATTTGGAGGAAGACATGCTGCCCAGCAGCTCGGCCGTGCCCATGGGCAATTTGGCGGCCAAGCATCGCACACTGGTCGATGACTATGTCTCGGTGGCGCATCCGAGCACCCATCAAAAACTTCAAATGGTACAAAAGGAGGAGCAGGAGGCAAAGACGCGCATGGAGGCGCTTAAAAAGACCGCACCCAAACTAACTGCATTGGAATTCCCCACGTTGGCGCCAAGCAGCACCAAAGCAACACCATTACCTAGGGCCAATGGCGGCGGATCGGCAGCCTCCTTGAATTGGAATAAACCCATATCAGACAAGAAACAGAAGGATTTAGAGAATCGCAAGGGTAAAGTTGCGCCCGCGCCTCTATTACCAACACAAAAGGGCAGCACAACAAGCTTAAATAACAACAAGAACAATGCTACAAAGCAGGAGTCGCAGCCACAGGTCAACAAGAAGGATAAGAAATCCAAAGAAAAGAAAAACAATCAAGAGAATCAGCCAAAAGTGAACAAGCAAAAAGAAAAAAACAACAACAATACCAATAATAATAATAACAATAATAACAGAAACAACAACGACGACGAACAGCTGCCAACAATTGTCAACTCCAATGGCAACTTATCAAGCACATTGCGTGCACCGCCTGGTCTGAGCGCTGGCGCACCGACCGTTAAACCACCACCCGGTTTCATGTCCAACGTCACCGTCAACTCGGTGGCCAAGCTGCCCAATAATTTGACATTTACCAGCTCATTGGGCGAGAATTATAGCATTGTGCCGAGTTCCTATAGCTATAGCGATCCACCAGACACGGCAAACAGGAACCAGGTGAGCACAACTGAAATGTATGCCTTCAACAAATTACTAAAAATAAAGTTTGCTTTTTGGCAGAATTTGGTGGATAGCCTGCGCGAGGTACTAAAAACACCCGAGGCCTTTAACGAATTTCGCATGCTCTCGTCCAGTTTTCGAGATGGTACCTGTACGGGACAAGCTTATTATGAGCACTGCCAATGCGCAATGCTGGATAAGTTTCATAGCCTGTTTCCGGAACTATTAGTCATGCTGCCCGACATAAGCAAACAACAGGTTTATCAGTCAAAATTAAACCTAACTTCTGTGCCTGTTCTAATATTTGTTTTTTTGTTTTGGTACTCAGGAATTGTATCTGGTGCATAAACAATACGTGAACAGCCTGACGCCCAGCCAGAGCAAGCTGATGCCCAACCTGGAAGTGTGCAGCAGCTGCAAGCAAATCCTTTTGTCGAACGATTTTGCCAGCCATCAGAAGGCGCACGAACTCACAAAGAATTTCCCCACGCTTGGTAATGCCGCTTCGAATACTTCGCTTAGCGCCGGAGCCAAGAATGCGCAACGTAAATAAAACCAGAACAATGTGGTTTCAACACAACAAAAAAACAAAAAAAAAAAACAACGATTAATTGCAATGAAAAGCTTTACCTATGTATATTTTGTATGTATGTAATTAATTAATTTATCGTTTTGAAGCACGCGCGTCCCCCCACACCAATAATGAAGAAAAGCGAAAGCAATGACAGTGTACACAAAAAAAGAACTTGTATGTGAACATATAGCTTAACTATATGTATTCAATATGATTAGGCCCTGTAAAATTACGCTGTTGCATGTAACGTTAAAAACGTGTCATGATTTTGCAGAACCGTCAACTAAAGCCACCTGCACATTGTGGAATTCGATTTTTTTTTTTAATTTTTAATGAGTGAGCTTGTATAAAATAAATATCTGAATAAAGTGCAAAACAATCAAATTGCAATACTGGCTGGTTGTATTGATTATTGATAATAGCTAATTAGCAATTCCCTTAATGTAAATAAACTAGAATAGATAAAAATACAATTAGCATAATTGCTTGTATCTTATCTACTTTCAATTAGTTAATATTCTGATAAGCTGTATACTTTACTTTGTTTCGATTATCCTCCAGGTTAAATTATTATGTTCTCAGTTTTTACATATTTTTCCTAAAATGAAGTTACGAATTTTCGACTCAATTGATTTCCGTTAAATATTCGAAATATTAAATTTTTGTAGCAGTTTCAAAGGGTGGGTAACATTGAGATTTAGTATTTATATGGTACTTGGCCACACTGCACTTGCCTAATTCGCGTTATCGATATGTTCGATGAGTAAACAACAGGCTATCGATAAAGTAGTGGAATAAACAACGATGCAGCGGCGCGAGGATGTGCTGAGACAGGTAATTAAGAACGTTTTAATATTCTGCGAAATAAATGCAAAGTGAGCAATATACTAGGCACTCGACAAAAATGCTCATGAAACGGAACGTTGGCAAGCATATAAAGCGGACAATGAGGTGGCGATGAAGAATCTCGAAACCTTCTCTAAAAATCTTACTGTCGAGGTTATGGTGCCAATTGGTAAGAAGGCCTTAATGCCGGGCGAATTGATACACACCAACGAACTGCTTGTGGGCCACTATCAGGGCTACTTTTCCGCTTGCTCAGCCCATAAGGCCCAGGAGATATGTCAGCACCGTCTTCGCCTAGCCGAAGAGCACCTAAACAAACTTCAAGTGGAGGCGGATCTCTGGCAGTAAGTCAAAGAAAGGTTTGCTTACGCTATAAGATTCTAATATGCATGTTTTACAGAAACAACCTGGAAACACCTGTACTACAAGGCGCTGTGCCAAGCTCAGATGAAATTGAAATTGTGGAGGAGTACAACGAGGCAGAACACAAAAATTGGCTAAGGGAACACAAAGAGCGCTTGCGTAGGGAAAAGCAAGAAGAACGCGCACAGCGTGAAGCACATGCCAATGCGCCAGATGATATTTTCCAAAACCTGGAGGAATCTGAAATGTTGGAGGAGCTTGGCCTCGATCCGGACAATGTCAATAAACAGACGCTTAGCGAGCTGATCCAAAATAAGATTACAATTGACAAACCTGAAAGCAATAACTGTGATAATGAAAATTCAACAACTAAAACAGATATGGAGATATTTGACATGTTAGCTAAACTGGAAGCGCAGGAGCAGATTGAGGCATCCGAATTGGACGAAGAGTCAGAGCAAAATCTGCAAAGCACTAACGAGCTCGTGAGTAATCTAATGAAGGGTGAAGCTCAGGTGACGGCTGCAAAGCAACGCATTGCCAGAGCAGAAAACAATGTCGACAAATTAAATGAAGACGTGGCAACAATTGATGAAGATGACATGGATGAGGAGGAGGAAGAGGAGGAGGAGGAGGAAGAATCAGATCTACCGGAGGAAGTAAAATTAATACGACAACAAATGGCAGTATTACCCAGGGAGGAGCGAGGGGAGTTTTTGCAATCGCAATTACAAGTTATAAAAGCGAAAATGCGTAAAATACAAAAGATAACCTTCATCAGTGATGAGCTCACACATTTGATGAATGTGGTTGTTTGCCTGGAGGACGATTTGCAGGAAATGCTATTCGAGCAAACTGAGGCGGCCAGCACAGAGGAACTGTCAGAGGATGCTGAATCGTTGCCCGATTTGGTTGATAACAAAAAGCGACGCATATCTTTTGCAGAATCCGACGAGCAGTTGGTGTTCAAACAAGACGAAACTGTGGCCGAAATGTTGGCCAAGGGCAAGCAACAGCAACAACGTGAAGTAATTCAACTGGATGCTCCACTGCAGCCAGCGAAGCAGCAAAGCAGCTTAAAGGTGCCAGCAAAGGCCACGAGTCCACAAATCATGCAAAAAGTTGAACGAAATCTGGAATTTGTACAGGAAAATCAAAGCGTGCAAGACTTTGATTTGGTCAATAAAATACTTGAAGCCTCGACGGGACGCATCAATACACTACAAATAAACTTTAGTCATTCCGATGCGCCAAGTGCTTCAAAGCAGTTCGATGATACATCGACTCCTGGCAATCCAGCGCACTTTTACCAGCTATACAAAAGAGCCCTGGCCGACGCGCAGGCCGAGCAATCGTTTCCTATATATATCAACAGTTTTGCGGGCGAGGACGAGCTGAAGGTGCCGATACTTAAAGAGGAGGAGCGATCGGCGGCCTACGATGATCCCCGTGCTCAGGTGAGCTATCAAGCAAAAAAATTAGAGTAGGGATTTGTATGAGAGTAAAAGCGAACCCGAGTGAGTTTTGAGCAGGGGAATGAGATTATGAGAATCGAATAGAAGGGATATGGTTGAAAGTTGTTATTTCTAAAACTAATGTTAGTATTCTAGATCTGTGATTTGATTAAGTTAGATTTTCTTATTAAGCAATAACTCTCTTGAAATCTCATTACCCAACTTTGTTAAACCTGCTTTTTTTAGTTTTCAAAATTCCCGGCGACTGTGGAACATCCCGAAAAAAGTGAAGATCCGACAGTTACCGAAACTAAATCGATATTACGCAACAAATCGGCTGTGGAGCGAGAAGTTCGTGCTGTTGTCGATGAGCCAAAACCAAACAAGTCCAAAAAGAACAGAAACCGGAAGAATAAAAAACCACGCACCATTGATGATGAACTGCGCGACATGAGCGCGTATCAGATAGTCATGCAGGATCTGGTCGAAAAGGAGCCGACGGCGCCGGAGCCACTGCCAGAGGGCAAATATGTAGAAACGCATGCGCCCAAGAAGCGAATCAGCCGCTTCAAAGAGCAACGTTCCATGAACAAAACATAGTGGTACATGTGGGTGAGATATGTACATTTATTTACTTTGTGAAAAAACGGAATTATGAACCTATGTACATCAATTTGTTTAACCTGTATTGTACACACACGCGCGCGAGCTGTTATTAAATTAAACACTATTTACTAGTCCGTTTCAACGGAATTTATTTTTAAAACATTTACATTTACGCGATTTACTTAAAATGAGATATTTGTTTTTGATTTAACAATTTAGTCTGATCGGGGGGATCAGCTTAAGCTTTACAGGACACTAAATATGTGTATTGTGGGATGTGTGTGTATGCGTATTGAATGTTTGAAATTCATACGCAGTTGCTTAAACTAAAGTAGGTGTGTGTTTTTAAAAGTAGATACATATTAACTACTAATACATACAGTACGCATCTGCTTTATCTTATAAATAATCTCGTACTCGCAGCAAACACGCGTTAAGATCGACTCTCTCCTTTCTACATACAAATTGTAATTTGCTGTTTATTGCTTCGCTTGGTGGTTTAAACTTAAGCCGAACCAAGATTAATTTAATTACGTTATTATTTTTTTTGTTTTTTGCATTTTTTTTGTTTTTGTTTTTTGAAGAGTAGGTACATTTGAAATGTCAAAAGTGCATTGAACATTATTTTCACCAGCTAGTCTTCCATGGCCAGGCCAAGTAAATTGCGGCCCTCGGTTTTTAGTTCGAGTGTAACGCCAAAAGTTTTTACATGTCCATTTCGAAATCAAAAAGCTAATCTTCTAGTCCGAGGAATTCACGCTCCAAAGCTGCGCCCATCATATTCCATTCACCATCATCCTCATCCTCCTGATTGTTTTCACTGTTGGAATCGGAGCCCATTTCCAAATCTGATGGCAACTCCTCGCCTGCAAAAATTGTTAGTTCAGATTTAATGTTACATTTAATGTTTTTGATAAATAAAACTATATAAGTATGCCTACCGCGCCTAAACTTAGCACTTGGAATCTCGTCATCGTCTTCGTCCTCCTTTTCCTCATCATTTTCATCGCCCTCGTTGGAGCTCTTATCGAATTCCGCAACGGTGCTGGGAGCGGCCAGCATGACATCGTCAGCGCGTGTAAAGAAATCATGTGCACGATTTGAGCTTTCGTCCTCGCGCTTGCGCTTCAGTAACTTTTTGTCCATGGGCGGATTTTCTAATGGAATCATTTATATAAATACGAAGTTTGATTAAATAATTTTCAATTGCTTACCAAAGTTGACGGGACCTTCGTCGCTGGAGGAGTCCGACTCGAAGAACGTATCGTAGTCTTTGTTCATGGACTCAATGTCCGCATTGGTAAACACCAACAGCGGATTCAGCGTTTCACGGAAATTGCCACCTTGCTCCTGCTGCATGCTGCTCGATGGTGAAATTTCAGATCTCTCACTATAGTTTACCACATGCTCGGGACTGTGACAATGCGCCGGCGGCTGGCGGCCCTTGTTGCGCACCTTGCGATCCAGCGGGAATAGACGTTCATCTACATGTTCCCAGCGTTCGGCACAGGCCCACAGCCAATTGGCATTGACCACCTTAATTTTGGGCTCCTTTTTGGCCGCATTGACTTTGTAGGTGCCTGCATTGACGGCCACCAGATGTGTTATGTCCTTGTTAATGTTGGACTGCACCTCGGCGCCCAAGCTCTTGGCTATAAAGTAGGCGCGCGATTGCTCCAGCTTCATTTGGGTCGGCACCAAGCCGGAAAAGACTAGATTTTGACCACGTAACACTTCGCATCGGATTTTCGGCACAATGATTTTGAGGTCGGGTATTTCTGTGGTCTCATCGTAGATCGCATAGAAGCGCTTGTGTATGTTGCGCAATATAACCTCCAAATAGAGTAAATAGTCATCGGGATCCTCGATTTCGATTTGTTTTAGCCCATCATTGGATATTTTAACATTTGGACAGTTGCTTTGAGATGTTGTGGCCACATCATCATTAGTTTTTGCGGCGTCATCGTCTCCCTCTGCCAGCCGCTTATCATCGCCGCTTGTGGAAGAGGCGATGCTTTCGTCGTCTTCTTTCTTCGGCACCAATTTCTCAGCATTATTGCTGCCCTTTGAGCTTTCCGAGGGAACGTCATCAATTACAACAATATCATCACTATCGCTTCC